CCTCATCAGATGTTTTGGTATTGCATCACCTTGTTCCCATATTCCATAATTTTCTCTTTCATCTGGATACCCGCCTCCTTTGCACCTTCTTCAACTACAGATAACAACTCCCCAAGTCGCTTTAATGGCATTTTCCCTTCCGTCTGCAATATAGCAACAGTACCACTGTTATGCATAACAGCAGTATGAACATTAAAGACCGTCCCCGCATTTTCTTCATCTTTTCCCATATCAACAACCATTCGACCACTGATGTACCCCCCTTCAGCCGATGAGACAATATCACTCATAGGAATACCTGCATCAATTAATGCTAATGTACACGCATTAATAGCTGCAGCATTAACACTCCCATCATCTTGTAAGACTTGAACACGAATTTCTATCGACGTCTCAGGTAACTGTTTGACTAACACTACTTGCTCGTACATCTGTTTTAATAACTCAGACGTCTCCGCCATGTTGCGGTCAAACATCCTCTCACGTCTCCTCCTCGTCGCAAAAGTCGCTTGTGAAAAGAAGACTTTCAATTCAGCCGAGTCGTGGTTCCTCCTCTTCCCTTCCATCGGTCCACTGACAACAGCCTCAACCAACGTGTTCCCCATCCGAACACGAGCAGACCCATCCGCAGACTTCTCAAAACCCAGTTCCATCTCACATTTACGCATTTCAGTCGGTCGGCGACCGTCGACGCGATACCCTTCTGGTGTAATATACTCCATCCCCTTGTTAAACCTTTTTGAGTTTTTTCTTTTTCATTTCGTATTATGTTATTTAAAATGTTTTTTAAAACAAAAACCCCAACAGAAAAGCGTTTTAATTGTATGCCAAATACTTTGGTGTGGCAGAGAACTTTTGATATCCCTTGATGACCTTGTCGATCGCGTCTAAGAAATCTCGTTCAGTGATCACCTTACGGCGCGCTCTGATGGCAAACATACCTGCTTCAGTGCAGACCGACTGAATGTCGGCACCTGTCGCGTTGGGAGTAAGACGGGCAAGTAAGTCGTATCTGATGTCCTTCGCGACACTCATCGGCTTTGTGTGAATCTTGAAAATCTCGGATCTTCCGTCAATGTCTGGAAGCCCAAATTCAATCTTTCTATCAAGTCTTCCGGGTCTTACAAGTGCTGGATCAAGGGTATCTGGTCTGTTAGTCGCCATCAATACCTTGATATTACCTCTCTTATCAAAACCATCCAATTGATTAATCAACTCAAGCATGGTCCTCTGAACCTCACTTTCTCCAGTGTCGTCTTGGAATCTTGTTCCTCCGACCGCGTCAATTTCATCGAAGAAAATGATGCAACTCTTTTTGCTTTTAGCCATATCGAACAAATCTCTCACCATCTTGGCTCCTTCTCCAACGTACTTCTGAACCAACTCCGATCCAATGACTCTTACAAAGGTAGACTCTGTTCGGTTTGCAACAGCTCTTGCCAACAATGTTTTACCAGTTCCTGGTGGGCCATAAAGCAACACACCCTTTGGTGGATCGATTCCCAAATTCTCAAACGCTTCTGGGTGTAGCATAGGTAATTCAACAACTTCTCTGATTCTCTCGATCTGCTCTTTGCATCCACCAATGTCCTTGTAAGTGACATCGGGTTTCTCTTCAACCTGCATGACAGAGACAGACGGGTCGATCTTTGGCGGGAGAGCCATCTTGATTTCGTACCTTCCTCTATCGACGCCAATTCTGGTTCCGTCTTGAATACTGTCTTTGTCAACTTTTGCCGACTTCCCAGCAACGAATCTGGCATACTCCTTGATGGAGATGACGTATCTTGGCTCCCGCGCTTCTGGCATTGCCTTCACACAACGAGAAACCAAGAGGGGTTGTTCCTCCATCAATCTTTTGTCGCCGTTCAAGTCCCACTGGGAAACTGGAGCAAGTCCGGTGTCACTTTCCTGGATACCGACCAGCGAGTGGATTTCGTTAGCCAAATCGGAAACGTCCTTTTCAAGCTTCTTGATTGTTTCGGCATATGGGCCACGGTTGTAAGCCTTCAGGATGGAGATCTCCTCCTCGTCGAGTACTTTCACCTTGTCTTCCTCTTCCATTGCCATCTTGACAATTGAATTTCTCAGTTTTTTCCACCCTGAAAAGTGTTCTCTTTCCGCCCATCAGATCTCATATTAATTTTGTTTTTTGAGGTAATTCAATATAATTTATAAATAAGTATATTTACTATTTTTCTTTTTTTAAACATTTTTTTGTTATTTTTTTCAAAACTTCAAAAAAGTGATTAATTTTTTTTCATACTATATTATTAATTTAATTATCAATACCATTATTATTATATAATAATAATTGTAAATTACAATTTGTAATAATTCGATTGTTTTTTTTACTATTTATTATAAATAAAATTAAAAAAATAGAACAACAAAATTAACATTTATTTCTAAATAACAAAAACCATATTTATACTAAACTAAGACCATACCTCAATCTATATTCATATTATCAAGCTTCTTTGGATCCTTGTTAAACGTTTCAATGACTTTGTCATTGAAGAATTCTTGTGGGATTCCTTGGAACAGTTTAACTGAAGGTTGGACCTGATTTTGTTCTTTAACATATAAGAAGACTGGTTTTACCTTAGCCTCTTTGATCTCATCGAGTGTACTGAAACCTTCCAATGTGTTTTTGGTGTGGTACTCGTCCAATTCGTCGGCGTCGATTAAAGTTGCTTTGTCTCCTTTGACCATCACATCGAAAGTGTCTGTCTGTCAGTTTATTTTTTTGTAATAGATAATATTATTTAGTAACAATATATATTGTTATTCAAATAGTATCAATCTATAGAGTTATAAATATATAGTTAAAAAACTATATTTCTTTGAGGATAGATATATAGATACATTACTAGTACATTACTAGTATTAAACAAACAATTTTCAATATTGAGATTGGTCTGATGCATATTATCATATAACGAGCAAATTGCAGTCACAATTTGAGTTTTTTGTTTTTCGATTGAAGAGGTGAATATATCGGTATATCTCTGAATGATAGCACACAAAGTATTTTGTATCACAAAACATCTGAATTCTTGATTGGGGTTGATACTCACGTACTGTACTATTTCTAGTTCATTTGGGGAATGACTGTCGAGTGAAATGTTTGCACGCTCAGATGCTTGAAGTAATGTCAGCGCATCACGCGAATTGTGGATAGAGAGGGACCCATTCATCCATTCGGAATCGAGAAGCGCAACTTTGTTGAGTCTTAAAAAGACTTCCCCATACTTCTCAATTGCTTTTTTAATTAATTCGTCAAACCACAGATGCCCTACTTCAAAGGTTTCATCATCCCCTTTACAAACCCCAAAAATGGAAGTCGTTTCGGATACTTCCTCAACACCATCCCATATCACACTCCCTCCCATTTCTTCTAATATTATTGTTTTCATATCATCAGGAAGAAGGTGAACCTCACCAGGAATCATATACTCACCAAATAACTCACGGAGCCGACTCGACGTTAATGCCATTTTATGTTTTCTAGTTTAGTATTTAACATTGTATAGTTTAATTTGTAGTATTATTAATTTAGTTTTATTTTTATTTTTATATAGTATATTTTTAATTGATTGATGAAACCATCCATTATTATAATTATACTATAATTATAATGATCCAATATTTTTTTTTATAATAATTTTTGTTAAAAAAAAATCAATATTATGGTTTTAATGTTATTGTTTAATTTATATGAAATAAACTATAATATTAATAAAATAAAGTTATAATTTTAATATTATTAAAAATAATTTTGAGAAAAAATGAAATAAATAGTTTAAAAATGAAAATAAAACTATATTAAACAATTCGGGATTGAATGATGTTAAGACTAATAAATATTTAATAAATTCTTAAATAAAAAGATGGTTACAACTATTAGTAACTTTAATCATATTGTTTTTTAAAAGAATTTTGTTGTTTTTATCATAAAAATACTACAAATTATGCCAATTAATTTCCCATTATATTAGGCAAATCTTTATTATCATTGAATAACATGTTTTAACGACAGTTTTTTCGTTGAAAAGATTATGAAACTTTTAATTATAAACTATTGTATTTTTTTATAAGACAAAGAAAAAATTGAAATGTAATAATTTAATTCAAGAACAACAATCTTGTTCTGATAAAAACTTCCGAAGAGTCGTTTTTTACTTAACAAAACATTTCAAAAATCTTAAATTGTTCAGAAAACTTTTAGCTATCGACTTATTTTCTATAAACCTATTTTTAATGCGAACAATTTGAATAAAACGATTTCACGTGATAAATATTGTTCTATTCAAAGATGACAGTCGAGATAGGCATTTAAATATAGTTTAAATATAGAAAGTAAAAACCCTTTAAGGAACTCCGCAATTTAACAAAAGAAATTGCGATGTTTGAATTTGTAGCTCTTCTTCTCCTCTTGACCTTTTCATATTCGCAGAGTCAGTCGTCCTCATCCACTGAAGAAGAGTTATGTGACTTATATTGTTTCTTAAGTTCAATGACCTTCACATTAGATCTCAACGGGTCTGTAGTGTTTCAGGGTTTGAACTTTCCATATTTAGTCTTTGATAATTTAAAGCTCAAAGACATTAAAGGTGAAGTGAATGATATCAATGCTCCTCAAGGAATTAATACATCACTTATTTTATCCAATTTACACGGCAGAGGGCCGATTCTTAAAGAAGAAAATGACAAGGAAATTGGGTACTTAGAAATTCAATTTGTCGATGTTGCTGTCACTTTTGATTTAATGTTCCACACATACACTTTTAAACAATTCCACTTGATCGACTCAACAACTGCGGACTTACACATTGACTTGAATACTAAAGAAGCTGTTGCAGAAGCCAAGTGTACTGATTGTAGTGTTTCTGATCGAACCAAAATCGCATTAATCAATACGGCGCTGGGGACATTTCTCCCTCTTTTCCAAAAAGTCTTAGACGCCAATTTATATAAACTCGATGCATTAATTGAGAACAAATTGGATACCCTCTTCGATAATTTAAACACAAATTACACAGAAAAATTCATTAATGGGACTCAACCCATTGATATTAAGATCAACCCAATTGGTAAAGTCAATTTGACTCAGAGTTCTATAGTCGATGTCATCGGTTACATCTCAAATGAGTTACTCATGTCAGACACAGAACTCAACATAAACAAATTAATTGAGCGATTCACACACCAAACCGGCGAGTTTGTAGTTGGGAGCAAAGAGGACACCTTCCCCTATTTAACTCGAAACCTCATTGAAAATTTGCAGTTCACAAACATCAGCAATGGGACGGTAGAAATAGGTATCAACTATTTGTCTTTAAATGGATTGAATACCGTTACCTTCTTAGACTTGTTCGAACCCCTTCGTATGATCTTTTTTAACAAAGAGAGTCTTTGTACTCGCCAACAGAACTGTGACTACCAAGTCCGGTTAGCATCGAAATTGGATCAATTAGGTATTCTCTTAAAGATGAAGTTAAACGTTTCTATCGAGAGTGATGTAGTTACTTCTAATGGTAAAACCCTAAATGAAGATTTGAAATTTGATGTCCAAGTTAAGAACAATTTATTGGATGGACGGCTTCAATTGTCTGTAGAAAATGGGAAGCTAGAGACTTATAGTAATTCGATGATAGAGAACATGACGTGTTGGGGTGCATTGATGCAGAATGGGAGTGGGATACCCATATTAGGTATAAACACTATATTAGAGAACATAACCATTCACAGCTCTTCTGGGGACTTAGAGAGTGGAATACAAGACATCATTAATTCTCTCATCCACGTCTTTATTTTCAATTACAATGATTCATTTCCCATGTTAGTAGATGGTATTATCAACGAGTTTGCAGTGCCAGCGATTAACACTGGAATAGATGAAGCTAAAGAGAAGACGTGTGAAGTGATAGTGGATGAACCATTTAAAGGGTATGATCCGCATGCTTCTGTAGCTTCATTGGTATCGGCCATAGTGTTTGGTTCTGTTTTTAGTTTAGTAGCTATAGTCTTCTTTGTCTACACATGGAGGAGGGAGAAGAAAATTCAAGCAAAAGAAATGCATCTGAGAACTCCCGAAATAGCACAACCAAACTCTCAACAGAACTCTGAACACGCGTCTTGTAAGAACTCAAATGACAATTCAAATGACACGGAAGATCTATTAGAGAAAGCAAGTAGTGAGAAGGTCGGTGTAATTCGAAGAGTGACACATCGAGTCACATGGATATGTAAACAGTTTTTAAGAACAGATGATGGGGGCGCCTCGCTATTTTTAGACAGTCGAATTACCATCTTCTTGCGCGTTATAGTTCCCCTTCTTATATTTATTAATATGTCCATTTTCATCATTTCAAACACGGGAACAGGCGCTACTGTATTTGGCTATTTAGTCCTTGGAAACACAAACGAAATGAGTTTTGAAATGTCCGAGTTTGGATTAGTCGATACAGTCACAGACATGTGGACTGCAAAGGTCTATGCTCTCAGTTCTTTAATTCTGATCTTTTCTGGGATATGGCCGTATACCAAATTAGTTATGATGTTAGTCTGTTGGTTGATGCCAAGCACTTTATTGACTCCCAAATATCGAGGTAAGATCCTTAGTGTCTTAGATGCGTTTGTTTCTATTTATAGTAATTGCATTCTAATACATTAATAGTAATATATAGATTAGGGAAATGGTCTTTCCTTGACTCATACGTTATGACTCTCATGACTATGGCATTCTTCTTCGACTTAAAACTCCCCCTCCATCACCCGGAGAACGTCCACTCAAACGTCGCAATTGATTTGTATGTGAATCCCGAGTTAGGGTTTACTACACTGATGTTAGGGACTTTGATGTCGTTGTTCTTGTCACATTTTATGGTCTTTTTACACAACTACATACTCTCAAATCCATCAGATAATATCGGTGCCGATGCCAAAATCTACAAGTCACTCTTTTCAACTCGTCGCAACTTCTTGATCAAATATGGATTAATTGTGTTGATCCTAATAGCAATGTTCTTAGTAATTCTTGGGATGTTCCTCGAGTCCTTCTCATTCAACTTTTTAGGCTTAGCTGGCTGGGCCTTTGATATTTTGAATTTCGAGCACACTCGTAACTTCTCTGTGATGGATCTTGGCGTCAACTTCCCTGCTGCCACTCGAGAGCCAAAGAGTTTTGTTGTTCTCTTTATCCAAGTGACTTATTTCATAACAATAGTTACACTTCCCATGGTCCATATGATCTGTATGTTAGTCTTGTGGTTAGTCCCAATGACTCGTCGAATACAAAATATGATGTTTACGGTGTGTGAGATATTATATGCGTGGTCTTGTATTGATGTCTTTATTATATCAGTCATAGCCGCTGTTTTAGAATTATCACAATTCGCAGCCTTCATGGTCGAACCATTTTGTGATGTTCCATTAGGTGGAAGTGGGATGTCTGTCGACTCTATAATAGCCAAATACTTCTCCACTGAAGAATTTATTAAAGACGGTCATGAGACTTGCTTCGAAGTAAAGACTGAACTAACAAGTGGCTGTTGGTGCTTATTCGCTGGTGTAATTTTCTACACTATTTCTTCAGTATTACTCGTCAAATTCGCTAGAAAAACTTTAGCTGATCGACTTCCCACACAAGAAGAAATCTCGGAATTCGAAGAAACTCAAATGAAGAAGAATCAAGACAAATGGCCGCTTCTCTATGGTGTTTCTTCTAACTGATTTTTGTATTCACAGTATTTACTATATTGTATTGTATTTTTACTATAATAAGTATAGTTTCTATAAATAATTAGAATATAATTTGTACTTTGTTTTGGCATCTATTAACCATGTGTTATAAATAAAAGTACTATAAAATATACTAGAACAAAATAAAAAATCCTCGCTTTAAAGCGAGTAGAGTTTACTTATTTTTAACCTCGGTGTCAACCTTTTTTTCCTTTTTTTCCTTTTTTTCCTTTTTTTCTTTCTTTTCCTCCTTCCCCTTAACCTTTTCTGGTGCAATAGTCTCCAGACAAATATCCAGTGGGTCTTTGTCTTTCTTGTGTTTGCAGAGGCATTTTGAGAGAATCATGAAGATGATCATTAAGACACACAGAACGGGCATCACAAATGGCGCATATTTGTAGACGTACTTCACATAACGCATTTGAGTGATTGAGTCACCCATGAAAGCTACGCATGAGTATCTTAGTATTTGTGATATATATAACATATATCTTGGATCAAGTAAAACAAACTTTGTAAAGAAGTCCCAGCAATGAACTCTGGGAATGTCTCTGAAGTAAATTGGATCACACCAAATGCCGTCAAAATAAGTAGTATCGTGTTAAAGCAGAATGCGTTCATATAAGTTCCTCCGACCTCAAATGGATAGAACGCAATACCAAGCGCAAATCTGAACCCAACATACGTCACGGCTTTGAACACACACGCCAACAAATACATTGCAAGCACACCGTAAACAATCGCTCCCAAAAACGACAACGACCCAGTCAAGAATTGCATGACCCAATCGATCAACGGGAAGATCCTTAAAATCGTCCAAATGACTAATTGGACAATCCAGAGCAATGACACAATAGAAGCTATAACACCCAATCCTATAGCTATATATCCCCATAAGAAGCCCAACTTCGCCTTTCGTTTATTTAACGTCTTTAATCCTTTATCCAAGATAAATACCTCCTCGCGGAACTCTTGGTACTTTTTTCTCGAGGATATCCCCCTGACCGTCTTGATCTCTTTACTCTCGTCTAACATCGCCATAGCCCTCTCTCCAATCAATTTGGTGTATTCCTTGATCTGAGGTTCCTTCAATGGGACTGGACGGTTAATAAAATCGAAGATGAGACCAACAGGTAACGCGCCGAGGCCCAACCCGCCGAAGATAAGGACCAACACATAACCGATTGTACTCACACCGGCTATCAAAAACAATACGGGGGAGATTCTGAAGGAAATTGTGGTTGTGCTCAAGTCTTTAAGTCTGACATTTTGGCTTAATAAATTGTCGAGGTTAAAGGTACCGATGTCTGCCATTTGTTTACTCTCGTAGTTGACTTCGATCTCGGCGACTCCAAAGATGATATAAAATATGACAGAAAAAACTGCGTAGACGAGTAGGAAGATGAGGGCAAAGACGATAGATAAGATCAGCTTTTTACAGAATGTGTTGTCTTCGTCTTGGTTATACCAACACAATCCAAACGGCAAAATGATCGCTGCAAAGACGATTAATGTGTAATATATGACGTACCAAATAATTTCCATTGGAATTTCTCCGTCGGGGGGTCCTGCGTTTAATACGTCGGCAGGTACCATACACACGGAGAGTTCGAGTAGTTCCAAAGCTAAGATGATTAAGATCCGCCACACCCAAGTCATTCCTTTCTCTTCGGGATGTTGGAAATACACGACAATATAAAGGTTGCAAGCCAAAAGGATCAGCGGGACCAAAACCATCAACACTATAAGTAATATGTTCACCATAATGCTTTATCCAGTTTTATTTCCTTTTTTTCATTCAACCATTTTACACATCCATTTTTACTATATAGTATAGCTTCAATACTATTTGTATATAGTTTCTCTTCTTCATCAAGATTTGCCTTCATTCCGTTTTCGTCGTCTCTAACAACCAAAATTACTTTTTCCTCAGCAAGTCTCTGGCATTTTTCTCGTTTTTATCGCCTTTCTTTCCATTCTTTGAAAAAAATGAGATAAATAGATTTTTTTTATCTTGTTTTTTAGTTGTTTTTTTTAGTTTTAGTTGTTTTCTAAAAAAACAAAAATTTTCATTTTACTAAAATCATTTTTTGACAACAATTCGGCACTTCTTGTGGGAATTGTTTTTTTTTCATTAATAAACTGAAACTTTGAAAGTTGTTTTCAAGAAAAAAGTGTTTTCTATAATGTTATTATTAATTTATTATAAACAAACTAAACACTCAATCTCCATTTTTAACTTTGTCTAGTAACAAATAGTAAATACTGTAGTAAATGATAAATAATACAATATGATTTAATACCCATATATAATAATAAAGTTTATCATTTCAATTACCAATAAACTATAATAATAATAATACAATATATTCTTCGATAGTAAAAGTAAATGGTATAATTTACCTACAACTAAATTAAAAATGTTACCCACCCGAATAACAATTTGAATAACAAAATACAATTCTAGAAGAGAAGGCATTTCTTCTTTTTCTGTTCTTCCTGTGGTCTTTTAGCTTCGTTGAGTATTCTGTCCTCCTTAATGACCTTCAACAGTGCTTTAAACATTTCGGCGATGTTGATGTTTGTCTTAGCGGAGACCTCATAAAAGATGAGACCGAGTTCCTTTGCGAGAGCCGCGCCGTTCTCTGTGGGTACGACGCGATACTCTTCCAAGTCGAGTTTGTTAGCACAGAGACAAGCGTTAACGTGTTCTTCTTGACTCTTTCCGAGAAGAACGTGAAGCACATCTTTGTAGATATTCACGTCGAAAAAGGATTGTTGCTCAATGATGGAATAGACAATGATGAACCCATCTCCCATTTTAACATATTGATCCCGTAAACTATTGTATTCATCTTGTCCAGCCGTGTCAAGGATCTCTAATGTACATACCTCCCCTTCTAAATCTACAGACGTCTTAAAAGAATCTTCAATTGTCGGCTCGTATAGGGTCTTGAAGATACCAGATACCATTTGGGTCGATATACTCGTCTTCCCAACAGCACCTTTCCCAAGCATAACTATGCGGTAACAAGTTGACGGTGATGCCATGAATACCAATTCTGAATATTCAGTTCATGAGATTTCTCATAGGAAAAATGAGAGCGAAGAGACGTTCAAAAACGGGATTATTTCTATCTCAAAGAAAGTGGATTTTCGTCGCAATAATTCAAGAGTGGCATTTATTATTGGTATGGTTTGTTTTGTAATTCGTTATAATTCATTTACTATATGTTCTTATTGTTTCTATTTTTATACTATTCATTGTTATGTCGAGGGGATTTTTGTCATTTTTCTTCTCATGAACTTTACTCAACTCCAATTTGTTGTTTAATAAGTTGTATTTTAAAGTTTTCGTCTTTTTTCGTTTTAAATGTTTTTACAAAGTATAGGTTTATTGGTTTTTTTAACTTAATAAATATAATTATTGTCATTTGAATTATTGTATATGATAATATTTGTTATAATTAATGGTAGATAATAAAAAGGTTATTTTAGTATGTTAATATAAATATATTTAAAATAATATATATATTATAATTAAAACTAATATATAATTTTAATAGTATTACTTTAAAATAATAATTTTTCATTTAATAAAAAAATTGTTATAATAAACATTTTATTTGATTTATTTTATATTCTAAAGTAAATTAATAGTAATTTCATTATTTACTATTTTTAATAATAAGTATTAAATAAAAAAATATATTTGTGAAAAAATTTTAAATGTGATAAACAATTGTTTTATAAAACATTTTTATAAACTAACATAATATTTGTTGGACTGTTTAAATCCTCATTCTTATTTAAAACTGTTGTGTCGTATCAAATCTACCGTTATGGTTATTCACAAACAATAACAAAACTATACTTATAATATAACAAAATCATTTCTGTCTTTTTTAAACTGTTGCGGAGTTTAAATCCCGACAATTTGAACAATTTTGTAACAAATTTACTTTTTTCTCTTTTTGTTCGGCATTATTTATTATTCACTATTTTTCCTGAATTTTTTTAATAAACCATCAAGCTTTTATTAAAAAACACATAAAACGGTTTTCATATTTGTGATTTGTCCCCAATCATTTCATTTTTCAACTATTTCTGAATTATGACCGCCCTTTTGTGGCTTTTTTCTAAAAAAACAATCGAATTGGTAATTTCAATCTTTGGATTCATTTAAAATGTTTATTTCAAATTATTAAAAAACAATTAAACTGTTAAACTACTTTGTATGGTTAAAAATATAACTAATATAATAACATTGTAACTTTATTTTTAATTGAAAAAGGTATTATTGTAATAAAAATACTTTAAAAATGTGGTTGGACCCATTCAATATTAGTAAAATTAACTATATTTATAGTTATCAGCTCTGAAGCAGAAAATCTAAGTTTAGATTAACACTCTATTTTATTTTTTAAATCCTTTTTTATTATAACAATTAAAATTCAACGACAATAAACTATAATTTAACCATAATAATATGGTTTAAATGGCTAAGCTTCTCCTAACCTTGTTTAAACTTCTTTTTAATATGAAATTGGTGAGAAAATAAAACCCACCCCGAGAAATGACATACAAATCCCGCAACTAAAAAATGTTTGAGTAATTCCTTTCAATAATAAAAATCAAGTTCTGGTGATGGAACGAGGGACATATAAAGAACTTGAAAAACGAAGGATAAGCAAACAAAATGGCTGAAAAACCTGCATCACTTCATGAATACTGGTACCCAACTCATGCCGGAGAGCAAAACCCAGCCCTTGACTCTTTGAAAAAGAGTGTGAAGAGGCAGAAACCTCTCACTCGATTTATCCAAGCTATCCCAATGGCTTTATTACTCTTTGCGATGTATGCTTGGGTCACTTTTGTGCTCACGTTCTTTACAGGGGAAGAACTGTTCAGTTCTGAAAACACCATAGGATTTGTTTTGGCTCTATCCACTGCTGTTGTTATTCTTGGAGGAGTCATTTACAAATACGCTGTTACCCACCATGTCTACTTGGTCGACTTTACTGTAGCTGAATTACCTGAGGAGTATGAAGTACCAAACTCGAACATACAAGGCCCGCTCACACCTGCTTTTAAACCAGAAAGTGTTGAGTTTGTGGAGAAACTTGCTAAGAGAACAGGATTAGGAGAGCACACATACTTCCCTAAAGTATTCCACCAAAAGGAACTCATTCGACCAACAATGGAATTGTCAAGAGAAGAGGCGATGCTCGTTGCGACAAACACATGCGATAAGTTGTTCGAACAAACCAAAATAAGTCCTAAGGATGTCGACTGTGTCATTACCAACTGCTCATTGTTTTGTCCAACACCAAGCATGTCTGCGATGATTATGAATCACTACAAAATGAGAGACACTTGCAAAAACTTCTCTCTTGGAGGTATGGGTTGCTCCGCAGGACTGATTTCGATTGACTTGGCAAAAGACTTTTTAGCTTCGCATTCAAATAGCAATGTTCTTGTTTTTTCAACAGAAAACATCACACATTCATTGTACTATGGAAATGAAAGATCGAGATTGTTACCATACACATTGTTTAGACTAGGAGGTGCTGCTATTCTTCTTTCGAATAAATCATCAATGAAAAGAAAGGCCCTGTATGAATTGACCAATTTAGTCAGAGTGAACAGGTCGTCTGATGATGAAAGTTATAATGTTGTCTTTCAGTCTGAGGACGAATGTGGAGAAAAGGGTATTGCCCTTGGAAGACAGTTGGTTACTTGTGTCTCTAAGGCACTTGCAAAGAACTTGTCAATCCTTTTCCCACAAGTTTTGACATACAAAGAGTTGCTCAAATATGGAATTGATTATATTAAAAGAATGACAAATGCCGAGTATAGAAAGAATGCCAAGCCATACATTCCCGACGTCTCTGAGACGTTCCAGGGTTACTGCATTCATGCTGGAGGACGTGGTGTTATTGACGGAATTCAGAAGAATTTTGGGCTTTCTGATGAAGATTGTTTGGCGTCTCGAGCGAGTTTGTACAGATTTGGAAACACCTCTTCTGCGTCTATTTGGTACGAGTTGATGTTCATCGAACGATGCAAATATTTGATGAGAGGAGACAACGTTTTGCAACTCGCCTTTGGTTCTGGGCTTAAGGTCAACTCCGCGGTGTGGCAGAAGTTGAACTGAACGCGGTTCCAAAGTTATTAATTGTTTACTCTTCTTCAATTTGTTTTATCGTCGCAACTTTAATTCTTTTCTTGTTTTTTGAATAATTTATTTCCGATATCACTTATTTTTCAGTAATAACTTTTCTAATGTTTTGCACCTTTTAAACCGAAAAATGTTTATTGATTCAACGCTGAGGAAATCTGCAAAAAATTCCTCAAGAAAAAAAGGATAAACCCTAACCAACTTCAAACCCACAGTAATGGCAACCGCATATCCAAGTGGACTCACTGACGCTGAAATTGATGTTCGAATGAAGAAGATGTTGAGCATAGCTGAGGAGTGTGACACGACAAAGGACCTCCACGAGATGCTTGTCCAAAAGAAGAACTTTGTAGCATATAATGGATTTGAACCATCTGGACGGATCCACATTGCTCAAGCCATTCTGACTGTACACAACGCAAACACTTTATATGAATGTGGTGGGAAGTTTAAGATATACATTGCCGATTGGTTTGCGCAATTGAACCATAAGATGGGAGGTGATCTTGAGAAGATTAGGGTTCTTGGGAAGTACTTTATTGAAGTGTTTAAAGCGTGTGGATTGAAAGAAGATGCCGCCGAATTTATATGGGCGTCCGACTTGATTCAAAACAGTAAGACTTACTGGCCGACGGTCTTGGATGTCGCGACCAAAAACTCCGTGAATCGGATTACTCGATGTTCCCAGATCATGGGAAGAGGCGAGAAAGAGGCGTTGACCACATCGCAGTTGTTCTATCCCTGTATGCAATGCGCCGACATTTTCGAGATGAATGTCGACATCTGCCAACTTGGTCTTGACCAGCGCAAGGTGAATATGTTAGCGCGAGAGTATGCCGCTACCATGAAAAAGACGTCTCCAATCATTTTGTCCCATCACATGTTAATGGGGTTGAAAGGACCAAAAGCTGGAAAGATGAGTAAATCGATCCCCGACTCCGCTATCTTCATGGATGACTCCTTCGACGAAATTAAGAGGAAAATGATGAAGGCCTTTTGCACGGATGAAGTGAAGGAGAACCCCGTCTTCGAGTATATTAGATACATCATTTTACCATTCTTGGGAAAGGCTAAATTGTGCGGAAAGGAATATACGTTCCAGGAAGTCTGCCCCGAGTTCGGTCAAAAAGACGAGAAAGGTGTCGCTTTAATAGCTACCCCGACCTTCGCAGAGGAGTTTAAGACAATGGACAAAAAACAACTGAAAGAAGATGTCGCAGGACTCATTAATGACATCATCGAACCGGTCAGAAAACACTTCGAAACAGAAGAAGGAAAGAAATTGCTTGAGACTATTAAATCGTTCAGTGTCACAAGATGAAGTCAATTGCTTTGTGAAGTCGTTTTTTGCTTGATAATTAGATATCTAGTTCATTTATAGTATAAAGGAGAGTTAATTCTTATATTAACTGATATAATAATAATTATTATAATTATTACTAATTTTTTTTTAATAATTTATAATTAAAGTAATAGAGTAAAGTGTTAAAGAATTATAAAAATATTATTATAGTTAGGATTATAGAAAAGAAACTAGAAAAACAGAAGAAGGGATGGGGACGATTCGAATGTGTATGGTGTGTAAGAAAGCTCCAAGTCTTATCATATTGAACGGGTGCGAACATGATTTGGTGTGTTTGGAGTGTCTCATGAAACAGCGATTTCTTAAGAGGAACTTTTGGTGCAAAATATGCAAAAAGGAATTTAAAGACCTTCTTATAGCAAGTGGAAGACGAAGAGATGAGGAGTTTATAAGAGCGACTTTGAAGAGAGGTGGTGTCTTCAAGTTTCCTGAGATTGGGATGTCGACAAATAGCTGTGAGTTAGAAAAGAGAATCAGAGAGATGATGTCTGCGATATGTCATGAGTGTAACAAGACGTTTGAGAGTGTTGAGGTGCTTGTTGAGCATCAAAAAGAGCGTCATGGAAGTACCGTATGTCCGTTGTGTGCGAATAGAAGTATGTTTTGTTATAGTTGTAAGATGCTAACACCAATAGAACTTGAGAAACACACGAAAAAGAGTCATAAAAGTGATGACCACAATCATTCAAAAGAATTCAAAAAGTCTCAAGACGTGAAACGGACTTCAGATATGAAAGAAAGAGGAGAGGAGTATCAGACAGTCACATATGACCATGTCACACCATCAAACACAAAAATGGGTGAAGAGACACTTCCCTCTTATATCTCACAAGAACAAAAGGCAAGAGAGAGATTAGAAGACTTTCCAGAACTCAACTTTGTGGAAGAGAATTTATATGAAGAAGATCCCATTGAAAACAAAGAAAATGGTTTGGTGCAAAAAATGGAGGAAATCGAGTTGACAGCTCCCATCAGAAATACACAACTTACACCACAAGAATGTTCTGAAGTTGGTTTAATGGATAAAGACGATGTTAATGAGGGGAATGATGACACTAAAAAAGGCCAAGTGCCATCTTCAACAGTGGTCAAACGACCAGAAACACAGAACCGAATTGATCCTTCATTCTCTCGATTACAAACAAGTGTCGAACATCAGAAGACTTTACAAGAAGGTTCAGGAGGTGCCTCCAAGTCCGTTTCCCAGTGTTACTTTGATGATCGAAAAGACCAAGAAAAGGTGAAGAAAGAGCTTGCAGAACGTGTTGTGAACTATGCAAAATTGGTGACACAGCACCACCCAAAAGCAGAAAGTGAGACACCATACATCATGACTGGTCATATAATGACCCTCAAAGAGTATGTTACACTGAAAGAAAAAGCTTTAGAAGACTCAAGAAAGAAGCGGGAGTGGCAACTTACAGCATTGCCATGGACAACGCGTCCATCGCAGGTCATGAGGAAAAAGTTTGAAGGGAATTCATTCAACGAATATGAAGAGCCGCTTTTCCCCGAGTAATTGATGTGTTATGTATGTACAGTTCACTAGAGAAATCGTAAAAAATCAATCATCAGTATTTGTAATATCCAGACGCAGCTCCACTGCTTTTTTGATCCACTGGTCTTGTGTCATATATCATTTGTTGTTGTTTATGATCGTTCATTTTCGCATTTTGGTATTGTGGTGGGGTATAGTGTCCTATTTGTCTTGGTGCAGTCCATTGGTTGTATGGGTTCTCAGCAAAGTCCATAACATTTTCCTGGACAGATCCAAACGTTTCCAAGCTCGGTTCTGGGACGTTTTGTTGTGGTGGTATTTGTTGTTGTGGTGGTAATGGTATTTGTTGTGGTGGTATTTGTTGTTGTGGTTGTTGGTAATAATTATGACGATTAGTCGTATTTTGATATCCTCTGTCTCTATATGACGATTCTCTCGCTCCACGATAATACGGTTCTCTTCTCTTTGGAATGTATTCATCAACTTGATAGTGTCGATTCCTTTTGTTAATGTCGTCTAAAACTTTCTCAGGGATTTGGATTGTTTCTCCATCTAAGTACTTTGATATGAAGAGATGATTTGGGTCATAGATTGGGTTCGAGTATGCACAGACAAATACGTTCTCTCCGTTCTGACACAAACACATTTCTTCAGAAGGAAGTAACACACCCGACACCCCATTGACGTCGTTCTTCAGTTCATAAGCAGTTTCGCCGTACCTTGACAAATCGACCTTCTCGTCCTCGCCTCGGATTTCGGAAATGGTGTCTTTAATTATATCCCACATACTTTTCACACTCCCAGTAAATGAGTTGATCGCTTCGGCAAACTTTGGGTTCTCTTTCGAGAAGAATATCAAAGACTCTCCCCACCTCATATTCCGTTTAAACTCCTGTCCTTGAAGTTGTTTCTCAAGTGGTTTTAAGACTTCCAGCAACTTATTCTGGTCAATGAAACTTAATAGGATGACGGCTAAGTACTCTTGTGTCTTCCCATTCATATCAATCGCAAACTTTTCGGGATAAAATTCTTTAATTGGAGAAGTCGTGGAGTTCATGATGTCTCGAAAGAGCATGGGAACACACTCTTTCGATCGCGGGGGTAACACAGACATCAGTTGTTCGACTGGTTTGAATGGAATCCCCAACTCAAATTTGGGTTCAAGTGTGTTGTCAAGATACGTCGCGACGTCCGCAATGAACGGCGCGTACAAATAAGGGAAGTACCAATCCCAGCATTGGCACCCCTGATAATAATACTTCAACACCCAACTGAGACCAATAAAGTATTCATTGACAAGTTGAGTCATAGCTTCGCTCGGGTATTCGATTTTGAGTTTCGACGCATAGTACTTCGCCTGATATCCATTCATCGAGTAATTGATATCTTCGCTTTCTTCTTTCTCAATCCCTTTGAGGAAATTCTCTTTGTCGAGCTTCAAGTGCTTGAGCTTCAAGTCTTTAATTGCTTGATCCTCACCACTCCCTAATACCGCTGATATCTTATCGTCAAATTCACGAATCATTTTACCCTTTCTATTGATACGAAAACGGCTCTCCTTCTCACTTTTACTTTGAAGAATTCGTTGCTCTCGCTGACCAACAAGAGACATGAAGTTCTTCGCATGTGTCGCGTTGAGTGTTCCAGAGTCGGTAAGATACCCATTCTCAGGTAAGAACTTCATATAGACTTCCATTAACATGTCAATGGACCCTTCTCTGATTTCAAGTGAAGGCGAATGTGGAAGAAAGTCGTTCCCAACAAAGAAACAGAAGAAGATGAAGTCATCGATGATTCGTTCGAAGTCGAATCCTTCAATCCGAATCGTTTTCGATAAATACTCTCTCAAGATGTGACAATGTAAAAACAAAAATGGCTTCCGAATTGGGTCCATTGCACCTATTTCACCTTTGTGAGAGCATCTGTCTGGCGCATGACCTTGTTGTCCGCAGATATAACAAGGAACGTGTTCAAAGAAGACTTGTTCTCTTATGATACTGAACTTTCTTTCATGTGTAGCGAGTGTCAACATGATTAAGTCGGCGTCAAGTCCGTAGATACAGTGATGTATATTTGGATTGTAATTTGGTTGATCCTTCTGCTTTCTGATGTATTCCATGATCTTGTGTTCACCTTCCCCAGGCACAGAAGCATCACTGATTATCACTACTAACTTCTTCCAATAGGCAGATGTCGAAATCCGCTCTTTAACGTATTCCTTTAACGTCTCTGTTACTCTCTCCATAAACACGGTTCCCGGTGTTATACAATTCGAATCCAAAGTTGGTTTGATTGCTATGGGGGAATGGCCCTGTTGAATCAAAGTGATGTTTTTCTGTTCATCATATTCTTCTTTAGATTGCGCGTCGCGTGCTGCTTTAAATCTTCTTGCTCTTTGCTGGTTCATTTTAGCGCGTGGAGCTACCCCATCGACAGCCATATATACAAGTTTCCTTGGACGAACGATGTCAATGATATAGTCCAAATACCTCTTCAGCATTATCAGCATGTCATCTATCGTATCTGGGGCTGGACGGTCTTGTGGATGGAAACAGGGGTGGATCAATCCATTCATGTCCAAGTAAAAGTTGTCAATCTCAAACCCATTCAAATTCGGGCTGTCCAAATCGGTATGATCCGTTTTGTTCGATCCCTGGCATGCGTCTATAATTTTGGGGTATTTTTTTTCAAGCCATCTAAAGAATGAGGGTACACCCATCTTCCAGTGTTGTTTTTAGTTTATTTTATTTTTTAGGTTTAAATTAATTACAAAGCACAGATTATAATAATAGCTGTTCGGCGACTTTACAGTCCCTTTGAAAATCGCCGACTTTTCAGTGGTCTTAAAAGTCGCTGACCTAAATATTTAGTTAAATAACTCTTCAAAATACCATTTATCATTTAAAAGATATTGAAAAAAATAAACCATATAAATTTAATATAATTATTATTAAAAATAGAAATGAAAAAACACCGTCCCAATTATATCTTCTCAAATCATTTTTTAAATTATATTTATATGATTATAATATAACAAATTATAACAACTATTGTGTTTTTACACATTTTTGAGACTATAATGAATATGGTATAATTTATTAAAGTTAATAGTTATTTAGTTCTA